AAAGATATCTCAATTCCTGCAATCACCTTGAGAAGGCCTTGCATGACAGCAGCAAAGTGGGCACTGGTTCCAGAGATAAGCCAGAACTGTTCGTTCCTCCACCACTCTTCCAACTCTATACCAGACCACTTCACCTCTAGAATGGCAAGAAGGACGAGGCAAATAGTTATAAGTAGGAGGTAGATTAAAAATGCGATGTCCAGGGTTTGGACAATGAAGAATCCGGAAAAAAGAGAGAGTGCAGGGAGAAAGCAATAGACGATCAAGAAAATCGAGGTGAATGCGTAGATGCCAACATTAAGGTAAGCAAGGCGTTGGAGGATTTTGAGACGCCTAGTGGCCAAAAAGGCATTGTTTCTGGAGAAGAAAATCTCAACAGAGCCAGTAGCCCAACGAAGCACCTGGTGGAGACGGTCAGTAAGGTTAATAGGAGCTGAGCCACGAAAAGCATCACGCTTGGTGACGCAATAGACAGAGCGCCAGCCACGGTTGTGCATCCGATAGCCAGTCACAACCTCTTCCGTGACTGAACCATAAATCCAACCCACTCTGTCCCCCCATTCAGTCTTGTCCTCGTACCTAAACATAAAGCAGCATGTAATAACATGGATGGTGAATGTCTCGTGTTCTCTCTCTTTTTTTAAAAAAAATAGAGGTCACAGATGATGTAATTTCTGGCTATAGTTGATCAATAATGAAATGGAAAGGTTGGCGTTACCAGCAAGAAATGACAGAAACGGCTTCAGCAACTGTAGCGGCATCAAGTGGTTCACGAGAGACCCTCAAAGCACCAGGAGGACGTCCATACTTGACAGCAGGATGATCAGCTAAAGGGCGGCCTTGGAACTCGGCAATAGGAATAGATTCAGACAGCATTGTAGAATTCCCAAACCGCTTGGGTAGCAGATTGAAATCAAGATCAGGATCGAAGTCGGTAGCTCTTAAGGGAAGTGTCTCTGCTTCTTTCTTTTCCTCGGTCTTACTTGTATTCGGTGGATCAAACCCATATAATGCAAATCTTCTAAACATGCAACCCGTTCCAACATAAACCGGGCCCTGTAACGCATGTATGTAAGATTAATCCATCACTGTTAATCTGTGTGTTCTTGTAATTGACGTTGGCAATAATTATATCTACAAGTATTTGTTTTTATTTTTTTAATTTTAAGTACCTGAACACCATCAAGGGCACGCATGTTTCCATCAAAAAACACAGTATTGCGATTAGCATATCTATCATTAGGATCAATGCCTTCAAATCTCTGAGGGAACTGTATATAGCAGATATTTTCACCTCCTCTGTCCATCATGAAGCACATTCCTTCCCTGATAGCTTTGCAGTTGTAGATGTAGTGATCGCAATCTAAGTTGAGAATGAATGGACCATTGGATAGAATGCCAGATGCTCTTACAAGAGCATTCATGGCACCAGCTTTCTTATTATGGTCATAGCCTGGCCTCTTTTCTCGTGAAACGTACACAAACATTGGTAGACGGATGTCCACATCTGTAAAGTCTATCATCTTATCATCCGCACCTCCCATCAGTGGGTCAGGGCTAGGAGGCTTCAACATCACCTGCACCCACATGATCATGAATTAATATATTCCCGATCAAATTATTTACAAGACAGGCTTATGATCAAGAAAATAAAAAACGAATGAAGTTTTCCGGTACCTGAAGAATTCCAGCGTGGTCACCTTTGGAATGTTCGGCAGCTGGGAAGGCCCAAGTTCCAGGCCAATGGGTGCCATCAGCCATCCATGTAGCTTTCGGGACCTTTATTGGCTCCAAAGGATCACCTCCGGCGCTCTCCCTCATGTGCTTCAACATCTTCATTTCCTCTCTTGCATTGAAAGCATCTGATCTCCTCCTAATGGAGTCTGGAAGCCCATTGATCCTCACCTTGAATTCATCATACTCCCTTTTCATCTTCCTTCTATCCTTGACAAAATCAATCCTGCTTTTGTTCTTAGTGGGATCAACTTTTAGGCTGAAGTAGGTTTCGGGGTTCCTTGGCTCAATGTTATGTTTTCGACAGAATGGAACCCACAAATCAGCAAAGCTTGCTGCCTCAGCCATTGCCTCAAAAGTGAGGAGTGCACCTCCATCATCAGAGATATAGCATGCCACCTTCTCTACAGGATAATCCACCGAGAGTATGGAAAGGATAGTGTTGGCAGTGACAAGTGGTGGCTCTTTATCAGGATCAGCAGTGGACACAAAGAGGTCAATACCAGGGAGATCAGATCTGCCTGTGGGATTGGAAGCCGATGGCATGTCAAACTTGTCACGGAGGACCTCAAGATCAGTGAACCGGTTGATAGGAGAAAGTTTGGGAATTATATCCAGGATCCATGAGAAAGCAAACCATACTTCACAAACCACGGACATGCCCCACAACCATCTTGCGTCATCATTTGGATGCATTATTCTCCAATGCAAGAAGAAACCCAGCACAACCAGTCGTACCACAATCAGCAACCTGCGAATATGCGTGCATAAGAAATGTTATGCGGGCTTACCAATTTATCATTAATTTTTGTCTGGAGTCAGTTATATGTAAGTCAGCATCGATATGTGCAAATATATATACAGGAGAAAGGTTGCAGAAAATTCGAAAATTTGTGAGTTTTTTTTCTTGTTTCTAAGTCGACCAAGTACTCCATGTTCCGCTGGTGCCACCGTGACTGCGAGATTTATTGGGGCTTCAGAAAGCTGGATGGTACCCGCTTGCAGAAATTTAGTATGAGATGAGTTGCAGTTCAGTTAGAAACCTGTAGTCATTCACAGCACAGCACTAATCTCTTTTCAATTACCCTCTCTTTTATTTTTATACCAATTCATATCAATTTCCTCTAAATTAACTAGACATTTTTAATTCTGGCAATGTTAGTCTGTAATAAATGTTGCACTTTTAATTATAAAAGCAGATTCTAATAATAAATTATCCAAAACTAAGACAAATTAAGATATATATATATGCATGTATCACCTGTAAGGGCTGATAATGGCATTGGAGATTGGCTGCTCACGACTGAGGGGCTTCCATGGCTTATCCATATTTTCTAACATGCCACCAGGAAACCCTTCATCGCCATCATCGCCATACATGTCATCTTGGGGCCAAAAGGCATTCCCATAGCCGTAAGTACCTTGTGTCTCAAACAACCACCTGTTGTGATCGAAATCTCCATTTTGGTTTCTCTTCGTCATTGTCATGTTATTGTGATCGCCTCCTTTACTTGGAGGTGGCAATGGCAGTGCTCCACTGGAAAAATTTGGTATTTCATCCTCGTAATCACCCACCTTGTATGGCTCCTTGCACCCTGGACATAAACCAGTATCTTTTTGGGCGTCCATATAGCAATCCCTGCAAATCTTGAACCTGCATGCGAGCAGAAAATTAAAATAAACTAAATTATGTTCCTGTACGTAATTAAGAGAAGTCAGCGCTTGATATTATACCTGCATTCACAAGGTATGACGTCATGTCCTCTCTCATCCTTCATGATCTTGCCATCGCAAGCAGGCATTGCACACGAAGAGCCCTTGGCACCAGCCATCTGAGGATGAGACACCTCCGAATCTATCACCTTGTCCATGAGATGCGCGCGCGTAACGCTATTGAACCCACCTGTAAAAAGAGAATTGGAAACATATTGCTCTTCGGCCTTGACCGCCACGGACGTGTCCATTGGCTGATTGTCAGGTGTGGAGGGAATCTGCACCGTATAGTTCGTGTAATCTCCCGAGAGTTCTCCAGAAATATCAAGGTCTTCTCTTGATAGACTAACATAGCGGCCGCTTGAAGTTCGTCTAGCGAATTTGACAGTTTGACCGGTGGAACCACGATTTCCCTGCTGGGAGCTGTTGTTATTGGCGGTGTTCCCAGCTGGGCTACGTATGCCCTTCTTGGATGGTTGGGAAGACAGAGTAGTTGCCATTATCAATTAATTAATTAATTTTGTAGTTAGGCTGCTGCTCGATCGTTTAATAATGTCTCTTGACCAATGGCCTTTTGATTGACGATACAACGAACACACCATAACATTTGCACCTCATCATGATCACGAGCATATATGATGTGTATAAATAGCTACGAATCGTACGAATTATGATTAATGGCGTTCGATTTCTTGCTTGTATATGTGTAAAATCTGATCCAAGAAAAACTCACCAGAAAAGAAGGAAAAGGGGAAGAAAACCTTGGGCTGGATGGGATTGGAGTCAATAAAGAGCGATGGAGCTGCCTCGTTGAATTCGAAAAGAAGCCATACATATACCTGCAATCAGTGCTAATTAACGACAATGGACGTACCTGCGTAGCATAGGATAAAGGCAGAAAAGGAGAGCTGGGATCAAGATTGAAGGAAGGTGGAAGGTCGAGGAAGAAGACGGGAGGATTAATGGATTGAGGGAGGCACTTCGGCTTGATGCATGAGAAAATGATTGGGAGAAGAGGGGAAGATGGGATCTATCATCTATGGTGAGAGACCAAGTCTAATATTATTTACAGGCCTGCCTCTTTTCTTGCATGTTAACGTACGGGTTTTAAGGAGATTGTTTGTGGAGGGAGGGAGGGGCTCCATTTCGCTTCAACATTCTGATTTTTGCATGACATTCCGTACCAGTAGTCTATTTTAATTAATTACTTAGCGCTTGGCTTTCCTTGTAGTTTATTTTATGCAAACTATTTATTTCTTCTCATACACACGGTTATTAAAATAATTACTTTTTGCATGACATCCCATTTATAATATATCAATATGATTTGATTTGAGTTGAGTAGAGTAATTTTTTTAATATAAAAAATATTTAAATATTATTAATATTTTTTAATAAAAAAATTAAGTTATATAGAAATTGATTAAATATAATTTAATTGACTTAGTTTTATTTAAAATAAATATTTAAGGTGATATTTTTTTAATAAGAAATTAAGATGAAAACATAATATTTCATTAAAAAAATTCAGAATTATGATTTAATTTGTGTGTGTTGACTTACTGATTTTGGGCACACTTAACAGGATCTTCGATTAATCCGCTCTTCATTTAGCTTTTCAAAGGACTACATCCTCTCCTGATCTGATACAATTCCCCTCTACAAAATCACCATTTGCAATGTTGATCGCAACAACGACAACATTGTTTAAATTTCTTGCTAACAAAATGAAAAGGACACAGAATTTCCTGCACTCTTCTTCTTCTTGATCTTGAAGAAATACTGATTCAGCACCAATATCCCTGTCTAATTCTTGAACTTAATACGGGAAGACACTAATTAATCAGATCTTTAAATTGGGATATTCATTATTAACACTAGTAGCTAGCTAGCGTATATGCTCATTTAAAATGCAGACCTGCTGAACTAGTAAACATATGATCTCCTTCGCCATGACCGGCAAAAGATAAGGGTACACCTCCACCACCACTGCTGCCGTCGTTTCCGCCACCACCAACTTGCCCTCCACCTGATCCAGTTAAGCCATCAAGGGCCCCGCGACACGATCACTCACAACCTGCCCCTGTCCTCCAGCAAGAGATATCGAAAGGCCGTCTCGACGAAGAGAAAGAAATAGGAGGATAAAAGTGTTGTGCGTCTGTTCCTACTAAGCCCACATCACCACACCCAGATATTTATAGTATTTATGCAACTACAAATATACTCCGACAGTGAAAAGGAATACCCAAATGTACAATGCTAACAGGTCCAAGCAGTAAGAGCATATAGTGGTCGTTCACGCCAACAAATCATCAAGCCTGTTCTCTCAATAACAGTCTTGTACCCATTCTTGCCGAAGGTATCCATAATTTGCTTAGCATCCTCGCCTGAATAATGCCAGAACCGAACTGGCTTAAACCCTGCTTGTGCAAGCCTAACCACCCACCTTGCATACCTCTCATGTCTCTCAATCCTTTCCAACCCCTCACAGGCTACAATATTCTCGATCTCTCTTCCAAACATTTCCTCTAAAATAAGCCTTTCATCACTAGCCAGATTACTCGCCAAAGTGGCATCTATCGAGTCAAACACTGCGCTGTAATAACTCAATCCCTCTCCAAATCGGTCCACCAATCGATTCAAATTGTGGTCCGCTTCTTGCTCTACGACAAATAATAACGTAGGTGACATTGACCGAATCATCGTTAGAAAATCACCAATTTGCTTGCAATCTTTAATGCCGTCGCTCTTGTTAACCCCAAAATGTGCAACCACTTGGTCATCTTCAGATAATAAAACATGAAGATTTAATATTGATACGAAAGCTAGCGCTTCTCCTGATCCAGCCTTAAACATGTCTTTTGTTAACTCTCTCAAGCTCGCATTTATAGAATTAAATTGAAAGGGGACGCCCACGCTTTCTGCTTCTTTGACAAGCCTTTGACCTAACTTCTCAAGAATAGCTTTGCTGCCATTAACACAGGTGATCTTCAAATGTGGAGGCCCGTGTGGTGAGTTGGCGAAACCACGGAGAAGTGCGACCCACAAGTTCGAGTCACCGGAGCCCAAATCTACGATGTGAATCACACGCTCGTTTGCCATGGCATGGAGTAAGGTTTTGGCTATGATGGCATAAGCGAAACTAAGGTAAGGGAAGGTTCTGGTAAAGAGGAGCTTGGCCCTATCAAGGTCGACTTTGGGTTGTTGGGCTTGGTTTAGCGCCTTGTGTATGCCGGGCCAACGCTTGACAAGGCGAATGGCAAGGGCGGAGGCAAAACGAGCAGCCAGCCTTTGCATGCAATCACCCAAAATCGATGAAAGCACCGATATCTCCAAAAGACACGCATCGGCTCGATGAAGATTGCCCGAGGATGCATGTTTTGCACATTTTAGAAGGAGATAGATAAGACGTATGCCTCTTTCTTCAGGCTTTAGAGTTTGGTCATGAGGGGAAGGGGAGCTGGGTGACAACGTAAGTGATAAGGTCACATCTGGTTTTAACAATGGTGTCGTGGAACTCATCTGGGCTTGAGCTAATTTTGGAAAGACTATCTTGCTTTTCCTTCTAAGTTAGGAAGGTTAGCTTTGATGCTTGATACTTATAGGAGAATCAATCTTGAAGGGGAGGCAGGTACCAGTAAGAAGCAGGAAGCTTGCTCTTGGAAGTATGTCAGCGTTCCAAACGTAAGAGGACAAAAGCTGGAAGTGTTTGCCAGGAAGCATGCTGCCTTAATTAACTTTTTGTGGACTGGACTTTTACCAAGAGGATTATTCCCAAGAAAAACACAACGAGATAGTCCAAATGGATATGTGGAGATGGAAAGTGACAATTGTTAGAAGGTTTTCTTATAGATCTCAAAGGAAGGGGACGCAACAGATAATTACCAAAAGCTAAGAGGAGAGAGGAAAACATTGTACATTACAAGATGATTTATTGTTCATTTGAACATTGTAGTTAATATTTTACTCTTAAAAAACCAATTAACTAGCTTAGTTATTATAGCTATTAGAGGTAATAATTTATTTTTACGAGGTTAATTAGATATTATCAAATTTATTATTAGAAATAAGTGGGTTGTTTTATATTTTAGAAATATAATAAAATATCTAAATGATCTTGAAAGTAAATTTTTGTTTAACTGGCTTCCAAGAATTTTTTTTAATATTTTCTGCAAGGTCCATTGGTTTTTAGTTTTAATTAATCAAGTTGATTATAAATCAATTTGATATTTTGATAAATATAAAATATAATAATAAAAAAATTAATTTGCATATCCTTTGATATTTTTTAAATCGTCTCAATAAATCCTTTCTTATAAGCGGCACATGTAGTTTACTAATTTCGGCACATGTAGTTTACTAATTTTTGATTTAACGACAACAACTTTTTATTTTTTTTATTTTTTCTTATTATTTTGATTTTTAAATTTGATAGCTAACTTGGATTAGATTTTTTAAAATTTTATTTTTTAATATTTGATTTATTAAAAATTAAGTTTTAATTTTTTTTTCATTTCACTTATAATGAAGTTATCACATTCTTATTTAGTTTTTGTTTTATTATCAAATAAAATCATGAAGTAGTTTTAAAAATATTGGAATGATATCTTCTTATAATATTTGACAGTTTATTTTTTACAATTAATTATTACTATATTTTTTTTTGTTCAATTTATCTAATATCATTGTTTTTTTTAATGATGATATTAAATTAACTTTGAAATCACTAACTCAAGCCTCAATTTTTTCTTATTTAATTAAAAATACTATAATCACCCAAGATGTCGCTTGAAACAATTTGAAGGAGTAGGAGTAGGGAGGATCTTTACCGAAGTCGGTATCTCCAATAAATACAAAAAGAAAAAGACTAGAGATCAATTGAATTGCATGTCATGGTCTGGATATAAAGGACATTTCCATCGATGACCTTAATGCATCTTGTGCTGTCTTTATTAGAACAACGGGTGGGTGGTGTTTTATCAAATGACGGTAATGCGGCCGACCACACGCTCAGCATATACAGCGTGACACGCACCGCATATACAGCGTGGCACTTGACATAAACCCGCATCATAAATTACCGAAGGAGAAAACTATAAATTTATACCAGTTATTTTTAAAAATATTTATTAAAATAAAAAAATTATTTTTAACATTAATATATTAAAATAACTGAAAAATATCAAAAAAATATTGATTTAAAATAAAAAAAATAATCATTTTTAAAATATAAAAACAAGGATCACATAAAGTATACCCCAGCCACCGGGTAGGTGAGGGTGCCGGTAATGACGCCATGTCATTAAATTTATCCACCAATATATATATATTATTAATTGAGTGTAACGTAAGAATCAAGAAACAAACGTTGCACGCTTGGGTCAGCCTTTGTATTGCAATGCAACTAAGGACTAAAGACAAGTAATTTTGGCATCTTGTGCAAACCGATGTAGTTTAAGGAGCTAGAATAGCTATATACTAGTTAAATGACCCGTTAGGTTAATAATTTTTATATAAAAAATATTAAAAAAAAAATTAAGACCTAAAAATATTAGGTTTTTTTGTAAAGTTATACTCAAGAGTTCTGGATGTGATTGAATATTAATAATAATATTAAACTTGCATGACCCAACTTTAAGTGGGTTTGATTGTAATACCAAACTCAATAGTCTTGGATGTGAGTCTGGAATCAAGGTTATATTATAAAAGTGTGATAATTAAATATATTAATTAAAAAAAACCAAAAGAAAGAAAAAAATTAATGGAGAAAAAAAATCTAAATTAATTGAATTAATCCTTTAAACCAGGTCAACCCGTCAAACCTTGGATTCATGTCGTGAAAGTTTGATAACTAAATAAAAACAAAATTTGACGGGTAAACACAAAATTAACTGGGCTAACCCGTCAAATTCAGAATCCGTGTCATGAAAATTTGATAACAAAATTAAAAAAAATTTTGAATATTAACAAACTATATTAAACAAAAAAACAAAATAAATTAAAAAAAACATCAGTCTTTTTACCGTGGACTGCACCGTGCAGTCCACAGTGAAAGACACAAAAAAAAAGTAAAAAAAAAAACTAAAGACTTTAGCCTTTTCACTGTGGACTGTATACAATATTAAAAGATGAAATCGGAAAAACAAAATTAATGAGGAAAAAGAAAAAAATCTTAACCAACCAGGTTAGCCCACCAAATCAGGTTAACCCATCAAACCTGAAATTCGTGTCATGAAAGTGTGATAACTAAATAGAAAAATAATTTATTATTAAAAAAAATTAAAAAAAAAGATTAATTAAAAAGAAAAAAACAAAGAGAAAAAAACCTACGGTAAGAAAAAAAAACTAATGAAGAAAAAGAAAAATATATGAATAAACTGGGTTAACCCGTCAAACCCGAGATCCATGCTATGAAAGTTTGATAATTAAATAGAAAAAAATTAATATTAAGAAACTAAATTAAAAAAATAAAAAAAAACAAAAAAAAAAAGCTAAAGGCATCAAGTTTTTCACAGTGGAGTAAAAGACTTAAAAAGGAAAAGAGAAAAATAAAAAAACAAAGGCACACGTCACGGGTTAATTTTTTTCCTTGAATAAAAAATATCAAAAAAGACTAAGATCTAAGAACATTGGGTCTCTTTACAAACATATGCCCAAGAGCCTTTGATTTAGCTGCAACGATT